AGGGGGTGAGAAATAAGAACGATGATACGTAACCGTGTTTGGTTCAATAGAATGCAATGAGTGAATGTTTAGAAGTGGGTAATCATCCATACTCTCGTAAATACTTCTTTTTTTGGGGATGACTTTTCATTTCTCAACATTATCATTCCTTAATACACCCACTCCATTTCCATATTCTTAAAAAAACCAAACACCCCCTAAAACATCAGTAGGAATTTTTGACAAATATTGTTTTTTTTGGTGCCCGTTTGTGTTTTGTTGAGAACTTTGTAACCTTTTTTGACGTTCTTTAATATATTTGCCAGGAGCAATCCTTTCCCCAAAAAACCCCTTAACATATTTGTGGTTAACGAGCACCACGAGTACTCGATGGCAAAACTAAAGCCGTCATGCCATCATGTGAGTACTGAGGAAGCACTATAATCTTCATAATAAAATAAAAATAATGAAACAGAAGGAATAGCCTTGAGAGTACTATAAAATATCCAAAAAAGAGGTTCAGCAAAAGACAAACCCCAGTTCCTGGTTCTTTGCTGCTATGAATAAACAAGTTAACCAAGCATACATCCAGTCAAACATGCACACAACATATTAATAATAATAATGCACAATCTTTTGAACTATTAATGCATGTTGAATGGTAATCAATCCAGATTTCAAAAATGGAAGAATCATTCCGAGAAGAATCAAATTATGGCGCTTGTCATGCCAATATGAACCATGGTATGCCGTCTACACTCTTCAGACATATCACTTTAAGTCAAGAAGGGTGTGATAAATGGAAGGCATAGGTTTTGACAAAACATTGTGCCCTTGGTCTGTTTCAGGAAACAGAAACGAGTTTCATTACCCACAATTTGTTGAGGAATGCTTCATTATCCAGTAGCGGTATCTAGTTACGGCCCATTCCATTGCCTCAAACTAAACTAAACTAAACTAAATCAAACCAAACCAAATGAGCCCAACGTATCCCATCCGAAGGTGGCATTTGGGAGGAGCTTATAGACACAAACCTGACCTCTACCTCAAAGAATAGAGAGGCTTTTTCCGTGAAGATCCCAGCTTGTGAAAAGTTAGCAAAAGAGAATGCATACAAGATAAATTTTGAAAACCTAGTAACAAGTAATCAATAACATAAAAATATGAATAGGTACAAGAAAAACATAATCAAGGTAAAAAAAACTACAACCCTCAATAATCAAGCCAGGCACCATTAATAATTTCCATTTCTGTTCCACACCCCTTATTAGTTATTACCCCAAACCAAGCACCCCCTAAATGATATTCAACAACAATTATACTATATGAGATCAGAAGCTGAATCCAACTCAAGATCTGATCACTAAGCCACATCAAACTACTCCCTATGAAATGAGATAAGGTTTTGCCTTACCGGTCAAATGGGTTACATTTCTAATTCAAAAGCTTTGAATATGACAAATGTTACTGTTCAAATCAATTTGTGAGTATACCAAAACATCCAACCCAAGAAAAACACAGAACCAAAAGCGATTGCCATGTTTTTGGCTGGCAGACATGAGGCATCTATCTGTCCATGTGAAGAACGTACCTCGGGGATATACTTGAATTTCAACTAATTACTTTGATTATCCTACATCTTTTGTTCACTTTGTAAATACATCGATGATAAAAATCACAACATCAACGTATCCAACAAGATCACCTTCAAATCCTTGGCAAAATTCAACAAGAAACTCACGATTTAAATCATACAAACACAAAATCCAAATGTAAACTACAAATAACTCATCCGGAAACCATAAAAAACAATTAAAACCACAAATCAATCAACAAAAATTCAAACCGACTTCAATAGAACAGTCCGTGATTTAAACATACCGTCCCCATCCTTATCAAATAGGCTGAAGGCTTCCTTGAACTCAGAGATCTGGTCATCTGTGAGCTGATCCGCCATTTGTTGGTGTGTTTTGAAGGTAGAGATGCGCCTAGATATTCAAATAACAGGTAGAGAGAGAGTAGAGAGAGAAAATAGGGTTGTCGCAGGTGGAAATAAAGAAGAGAGTCAGCGTTATATACCAGCAACCATGATATTAGTGGTCTTCCTTCATTTCCTGTGCTTTGCATCCGGACGTGATCGGTTTATCAAATTCCTTGCATCCGATTTCACCGCTCTCCCGTTACAACTTTTATTTTACTTGTTTTTTAATAGTTTCATTAAAATGCAACATTTGAATCGTTAAAAGATAAATTTAGTTTGATAAAATAAATTATGTTTTTTAAAGGTTCTAAAACTCTTTGAATGATTTTGTATATTGGGTCTTCCTTAATCATTCAGTACCCTAATTCCATTGTAAACAATTATCGAATGATTATATTTTATTGTATACTATATCATGAGACTCTCTTAATTATTCTGACCGCTTAATTATTTTGCACTAAACTATTCAACAACTGCCAAATAACCCCGATTTCTATTTTTTTCTTCCTATTAAGTAATATATATATATATATATTAAAAACTGTCTTTATAGATCGAAAAAGTTTTTAGGTTTTCATATAAAGAAGAAGTGTCTTTTTTTAATTGAAAGTCGGTATTATTGTATAAAGTTCTTTTTAGAAGCTTATTGAATAAATAACTATCTATATTATTAACTCACTATCAAACAATCATGTATAACTAAATGCATAAGCTGTGAGTCACATTAAACTCGTTAAATTACTAGCAAACATGTCTTACGTCTCTCATTCTTTTTTTATCAGAGTTGGAATCGTGTGGGAAATCAAAATTTTGGTGGGAAACATAGAATTTTTTTTAATACTAAAATGTTAAAACATATTATATCGTATATTAATATGTTAACTTTATGAACTGGACTTCCGTTAAGACAATGTTTCTTATGTTTCTCACCCTTTTAACAATGTTCAATATGTACAACAAGCTACTTGTGTTTGTTAATAGTTAATTGTGTGTAAGAGGTTCTTTATCTAAATGCTTATCCGGTAAGTGCTTTATCTATGGGAGTCAACACTATAATTTATTTTGATACGTAAGGATTTAGTACATCAAAACGTATTGAATGCAATAATTTATCGGGTAAACGCTTACCTGGGTAAACATTGTAATCTTCACTTACCGGGTAAGACTCTCCATCATTCTCATCGCTCTTACCCGATAAGATTCTCGACCCTTGTTATGTTCATTCGATGAGAAATTTTATCCGGTAAGCACTTACCAAAGAAACGTTTAGTTAACGGCCCATAAATTAACAAATAAATAGTCATTATGGAAAGTTTTGTTAATCATGAGTGTCCGGATGAATTTGCTCGTACCTCGATTCATCCCCAGAACAAACAAGAAAATCTTCAATGTTTTTACAGGACTTGTACCGATAACTTTTGAGAAAGATCCTTAAACATCCAACTTTTATTACAAGTTGAGCTAACCCTACGGGGTTTAAAAGTTTACGAGTCACATGACAATATAAAAAAAGCTTAAAATTATATTCAAAAAATTTATGAAAAAAAATACGAAGGGCCATAATTCAAAAATAAGTCCTAAAACTCGTTAAAACATTTGTTGGATGTGTTTAATCATATATGACTAAGCGTCTACGTGTGTCAATGCAACATATGTTTAATCATATATGATTGATCTTATGTATCATGTCTGTAATCATATATGATATTAAAACTTCTAGCCTTCTTGCAAAATTTTACCTTCTTGTTTGAACCTGTGCCTATATATATACACTAGATCGGACCAAGCGGTTTGACTATTTTTCATACTAGACCAGACCGCCAAACCGCTCAAACCACCAAAACCGGTCTGGTTTGACTTGATTCAACTGGTTTGAGCGATCCAACGTATTTTTCCCTAATCGAAAGATCGCAAAACTAGAAACACGAATCACAAGACATCCCAAGAACGAATATACGCTGTCATCTATTTTGTTTCCGTTAACAATAGCAAAACATGGTAAACAGTCGCAGTTAATTCGCATTTGGCAATGTGAAATGGTACTAGTCGAAAATGCATAACGATTAATGACACTAGTTGAACACTCCAAAACTAGATCTCGAGCCAAACCTGACCGAAACTTTAACTCGTAGCCTCATTGCTAGATTCGATTTGTGCATTTTATTGATCAAAACTCAAAAGCATTTAAATATCACTACCGAAAGATGGCAAGAATACTCGGTCTTCAAAGTTCGTTTGCGATATCCGCCAAAGACGAGTACGTTCCCACGATCATGCAGATGATCGCCACCACCAAAATAGAAATGCTCAAACCGATCTGCATACATTTTATCAAACACCGATGCAAAAGTCAAACCAATTTGCATACATTTTATATAGCGGAAATCACCAAACTAGCTATTTTTGGCAAAAAAAATAAATCAAGAAATAGCCAAATTTTCTGACAATCACCAAACTAGCCTAAGAATTTCGCAAATTTACTTGGCAAATTTGCGGAATCACCTTTTTTGAGCCTTTTTTGCCGGATGGTGGGCCATAATCTCAACCGAAAAGCCCTTTTTTTGATTTTTTGCAAAGGTTTCCAGAGTCAATTTGTGGAATTACCGGCTATTCTTGATAATGTTTTAAAAAACGGCTATTTGATGATTTTCCCGTTTAAATATCACCATGTTTGACCAAAAATGTCGAAGTAGACTCGTTGTTTTGGAACAAATGGAGTGCTGTTAGAGTGAAACAGATGTGCGAATGTGTTGCAACTTACCTGCGTAGTCGTGGCCTTACTCCCGTTAATTCTTAGAAAACATAGAGCTGGAAAAATGAGAGACTGCAACAAAACATGTATATCAATCGAGAGATGTTGCAAAAACGTCAACGAGTCATGGCAAGAAGGAGATCAGGTAGATATTTCAAAGTGTCACCATTAGAGGCGGAGCCAGAAAATTTATCTAGAAAAAATGTAAGAAAACTCACAATTTCAAAAGGAAACCATTTTAAGTATATATGTTTTTATTAAATACTTGTCCTAACAATAGTAGTAAAAAAGAGCTAAAAAAGCATGAGTTGACTTAAACAGAAGAATTTAATAAAGTTTCAATTTGAGATGATATCAAATTTTATTTTTTGAAGTTCTAAACATCTAATGGAGATTCCAACATGTTTAGAGCTCCAAGGTGGCTCCGTCCATGGTCACCATCTAATGTGCTTGAAACGATCAAAATACATATACACACTGTTGTGGTCTCACATCGGCTAGACACAGTCATTTTAGGGATTCGACACTTTGAAGGGGTTTAACATATCTAGTATGGTATCAGAGCCGGAATCTCACCTTTAGGGATTGTGACCCTCTGGGGCACTGTCTTCCTCTAGCCTCCATTGGAGGGGGCGTATTGAAGACTCACGTTGGCTAGACATGATCCCTAACCTCTAAGTATGATGGACTCTCCTTTCTCTTTTGAAGGGATAATTTAGAAAGTAATCTGAAGGGGTTCCACTTATTTATCATCTCAGAGTTGGGGTCTACTACAGTACTACCTTTAAGGACTACTTGTCTCCATCCATTGGAGGGGCGTGTTGAAGTTCCACATCCACTAAACACGGTCCCTTTAACCTCTAAATATGTTAGAATCTCCCTTCTCTCATAAAGGGTTTTTTTAGAGAGTAACTTGAAGGGGTTTCACACATTTAACATGGTATTAGAGCCATTGTCTACCACCTCTAAGGACTCGACATTCAGAGGCACTGTCTCCTTCTATCCTCCATTGAAGGGAGCATGTTGAAGTCTCACGTCGGCTAGATACGGTCCCTTCAACCTCTAGATATGTTGGAATCTCCCCTCTCTCTTTAGAAGGGCGTATTGGAGTCCCACATTGGCTAGATATGGTCCCTATAACCTTATATGTTGGACCTCCATTCTCTCTTGAGGGGGTCTTTTAAAAAGTAATCTGAAGGGGTTCCACATATCTAACACACATTATTCACAAAGTGTATGGAACCCACAACCAAACCACTGGTAAAGGGGACTTCTTTATGACTAGTTGAGACAAAGGCCATTTGTTGTGTCACCATCTAATGTTTGAATGCATTGAAAGTAGAAGAATGTGCAAAGACATTATATAATTATTGAATTAGTGAACATGTGAAGGATTGATGCTAGAACTTGAAGCTGCATACTTACCACCAAAATACATAGGACCGAACCCATCAAAGCCATCACAAGACCTGTATTCAAGAAACACAAGAAGTCCCAACAAATTAACAAGAAAGGAAAAATGGAAGTCGAATAAACCAAAACCAAACCAAACGAACCCACTATATCCCATACTCGGGGGGAGGGGGGAGATGTATGCAAACCTTGCCTCTACCCCAGAGGGTAGAGAGGTTGTTTCATGAAGACTCCGGTTGCAAAATAAAAGCAAAAAAACTAGAAATGGAAGTTGAATAGGAACATAAATTGAGTCACAAAAAAAGTATAATTTGGCTGGATCCCAACTTCATTTGTCAGATCAACGACATAGGTCGTATAGGCGTGTTTACGGTTAATATATTCAATAAAGCGTAATATCTTGATGCTTACCAAAGAACGGAAGAGCAAATGCAACACAGACAGAAGATGCAACTAGTGCAATCCGTAGAGTAACAAAACACCAGTCACTATTTGCAACTTTAGCAGGCAACAGCTCTTCAATGGCACTAGCCAATGGGTTCATCAGCAGGGCATATGTATGAAATGTTACAGAAACAAACGGATTTCTTTACCAAAAAACGCCACCACATTTTCTTTTTCCACCAAAAGTGCAAATTTCAGGTACATTGTTAACAAGAAACAGTTACATAATGCAGGATTCGAGCGATCCCATAAGGGATTGGAAATCCGAAAAAACTAAAAAGGATATTTGGTAAATGGATTGATGACCTGTTAATATGTAAAAAATACGTTAAATTCCACAATCGAACATAAAGCCACAAAATCAACCGAGAGATGAACACTTACCACTGTCCACAAAGCAACTTTTGAAGCAACTGCATCCTCGGGCATGTTCAGCGTTATCTGGGATAACGAGTGTTCTCCGAACATGAGAAAACCCATAATCGCAACACTCCCATACAACAGAACACACAATACAGTACTGCAAAAGAATTAAAATTGATTAAAAAATGTGATCAATGACATCATTTTTCAGTTTGACTTTCCGGGTCAAACCCAAATTCCTAAACGTAAAATCAACATGAATTTCATTGCAAATTTAATGGGAAGTGCATACCATATGATCATTGCTTTGGTAAACTGGGTTTTGTCAGCCATCGACTGGTATATATTCGGGAACACACAATGCCCAGAAAAGCAAAATCCGTATATACCAAGGGCAAAAGCAATGCCATTCAATTTAATGAGCGGACCACTTTCATGAAAACCAACATTTACTGTACCGAGCCAAAGCACAGAAAAAATGACCATAACAGTAGCCACAACACCAGTAGCTGCAGATGATCAAAAAGTTACATATTTTCAAGAAGTGAATGCTGCAAATTTGGGTAAATCCAACCAAACGAACCCAGTATATCCCACACAGATGTAAGGTCTAGGGGGATAGGACGTATACAGACCTTTCCTCTAACCCAAGGGATAAAGAGGTTGTCTCCATGAAGTCCCCCGGCTTGCAATGCTGCAAATTTAGGTGTTGATGATAAATGTACCTGAAAGAAATGAGGCTACTCGTGCATTTTTAATCAAAAGGGTAGGTGCGATAACAATAGCAGAAAGAATTGCGAACAAGTGGACTGAATCCATATTGAAACCACCCGTATGCAAGGATACGCTAGGGAAGATGCTAGCGAGATTGTCTCCTTCCAATATAATAAACTCCACACAGTATGCCTGAATTTAAACAGAAAAGATATGGGCTTGGAGGTGTGTTTTTGTAAGCAATTCGGGATTAAGAATAGTTTGAAGCCACTGAGTCAATGTTTACTTACGTAGAGTGATGTGTACAAAATGATCTGCAGAAAACCCAAGAATAGATTACTAAAAAAACCATCCAAGAAACTATTGCTCCACGAAATAAAAAAATGGTTAACTTTTCAAACCAATCGTGCTTACATTCTTAAGAAAATGTAATGAAAACATTACAGTTCACACAAGAGTGAGCAATCTTGGACAGAAAGAGCCAAGTAGAGTGCTTTTTCCCTTAGATTTCAACTATTTATCTAAGATTTCTCATTCACACAAGATGCAGTATTTCTTTTTTGCATTTGGCAAAAACAGTGTTTCAAGAAGTTAATCACTCACCAAAGGGTCAAAAGTTAGATACTTGAAATAAAAAGTTAATCAGTCGTAAAAGAGATCGAGCTTACTGCTATAATAAGACGCCCGTATTTCCCAAATGCAGCTTCTCCAATATCAGGATATGTTTGGATGCTTTCTTTGCTCTCAAAGCAAGTTTTCATGAGATAAGCTGTATAACAACACATTGCTGCAAAAAGAAGTAGCACTCCCATGCCTGCCCACCCAGCTTGAGCAATTGTATTCGGCATAGAAAGAACTCCAACTCCAACCATCACGTTCACCGCTGATCCAGCATAGCAATAAAAAGTTAATATAATGACAAATTTTCTGTTAAGATTTCATTTCACTAACATCTTTTCAAACTAGAGGTTATCTGTTGATTGAAATCTAAAGAATGATGAGCTTCTCACAATTGAAAACAGTCTGAGTGACGCTACATCCAAAGGTAATGGGAAGTTCTCCAATCAATTGATCGGGTAAGGAACCCCTTCCCGACCATGTTGATATCTTTCTTGAGATCCTATCTACATCCTCTTTGCTAAAAAGCTTTGAACATTCGGAAAGCAGCTTAGACTTTACGTTATCATCAAAGTTACTATCGACCCCAGCATCATACATTGAATATATTGAACCAGATGGGCGTCTAAGGAATCCCAAACTTGGCGTTGCTGAAATTGAGTACGAATCAAGCATCTGTCTGCAATCATGAATAGTGGTTAGACTTCAAAGTAAAAGAATCCATAATCTAGTCTCTGGATGTAACATTCCTCATATGATCACCTAAATGTAGGCCGTTATTAGCATGTAAACTTGGAAACTTATCTAAAACATTAAGCCAATAGATGGAGATAGGGCTACTTTATTTGTTTGCCATATCTTCATATCTACTTCTACAATCAAAACTGAACTCTAATTATGTTATAAACCATCATTAGCATATGATGCTTATCATTTCTACTTGTGATATATGTTTAAGTTGAAATAGATTCTTAGTAAAAGATACAAAGTGAAGTTAGTTTTGGAAGTGAACACGTAAATATTACTCAATAAAGTCAGCCTATGCACACCATTACTTTAAAATTGGTAATTTTATTAACCAAGCAATATATACATATACATATATATATATATATATATATAAATATGGAGGAGAATTGCATTCGAGACTAGCTGCTTGGTTGCTTTTCCATTAAGTCCTGTATGGATAGAGTTGTCTTTGTGGATTAATCTGTATGTAAGAGCGGGAAGGTGTTTGCTTAGGCGAGCTTTTTCATAGATGAAAGGAGCATGGTTTTTAATTGGGAGGGACAGACTTGGAAAAAAAACATGACTTTTCTGCATAAAGCTCCGCCTGTAAACTTACCCAAATAAGCCACTTTCTATATCATTATGCCACAACTAAACAGTCTATGTATAACTGACCAAATAAAATGTGAGTGCCCATAAAATAAACAAGTTCTTACAAAATGCCTTAAATGGGTTTTGCCAAAAACCACCATACATACAAAATTCAATAACAAAATATATCAAAGAAACATATATGAATGTGGCTAAACAACAACTATTGTTTCTCTGCTGTTCAAAAGTGGATTCAGCTATATGAATGTGGCTAAACAACAACTATTAGTTCTTCCATGAGAGCATAAGACCAAAGGGCAAAAAAGCACAGTTGAAGTAAATATAAGCAAGACATGAAACTGAAACCAACTTGTAACTCTGTGGCCATTGAGGAGCTGAGACTTGAGAAGAAAACGATCTACGGCTGGAACCAACATCGTTATCATCATCATCATCATCACTGTTATTTGCCTCTATATCATCCTCATCATCCTCATCATCTTCAATCAAGAAATAATCTGATTCCTTCCCTTTATCTGCCATTTTTCTCAACAGAAATTCCAAACGCACAGAAAAATTATACGAAACCCAGATCAGATATCACACAAATTCTCAATCCTTTGAATCTATTAGTACCCTGGATCAAAGATCACGTGTCAGGATCTTGATGCGTCCTCATATGCATCTACTCGACCATGCGACTTGTCTGTCGAAATCGTACAAATTGATGATGCGAATTGCGGAAAATAAGGAGGAAAGAGAAGATGAATCGACAGACAGTTGTCGTCGTTTTAGGGGTGCATTGTGAATCGACGAATCAATGGGTAACATGGGATTTCCATGGACAATGACTGATGGGTTTGAATTTGGAGGGGAACGTGGATATCTCTTGACGTTAACCATTAGTCATCTCCCCAAAGTTTGTGTTGTATATAAAAATGGAAATTTCTGTAAAGTCGACAATTGGCATGATCATGTGTCATTGGTTCATATAAAATCAGCCAATTTTAATGCTGAGCTCTATTTTTATTTAGGGATGTTCATGTCGGTTGGTTTGGTGGACAAATCAAAACCGATCGGATTTTGGATATGCAAATCAAACCCTGAATTTTGGGTTTCATATTTTCGATTGTTTTGGATTTGGGTTCAGGTATAGTTATGTACAATATATATGGAGATTACGGACAAGAGACATCAACTTCACTTATCTTATCATGTAATATTCCCAATCATCATAATGGTTTGTTGACAAACATCTTAAACCTGGTCATTTTGACAAACGTCTTAAGTCTTCCCTCTTATCGTGACCCGGTAAGGTAAGGTAAGTGAACTAGCAAGTGTTTACCACATTAAGTGCTTAGTAAGAGAATGAGAAAACAGTCGGATCATATTTGATTTTACGCTAAAAGAATATATTATATCATATGTAATTCAAGTGACTTTAACCACAACCTGAGGTTGTAGGCCACGTCGTTGCGCACCTTTTTGTCGACCATTAATTTAAAATCAATGTGATTTTATTCATGATTTGACCATTTCGTATTGGTTTATTCAGTTACTGTTCTCGTTTTAACATCCCCTCTCTCTAATATTGTAATCATGCCTTTAATATGGGATGCCACTGTTGGACAACTATTAGGGTAATTAGATAGATTGGTTGTCGTTGTAACTGTCATTTGTTGGTGCAGTTGCTATTCTTTCTCTTTTTCGTCGAGATTGGGTTGGGATAAAAGCCACAACCGGATGATAGCAAGCATGGGCACATCGGGAAGAAGAGCACGGCCTATTCATGTTTAGGTACGAAGTGTGAGTTCTTAAGAAACAAATATATCTATGATTGTTAAATGCGGGTTATATAAAAACTAGTAATGTACCCACAACATCACGATCTTGCAGGGTACATCTCAATTTTGAAGCTTAGAAATAGAAACTACGATCTTGCTTCACGATTCATTTTATTCTCCACCCCTTACGATGCTAATTTTGTGGTTTATGTGGTTTGAATTTGTGAACTAGATGATGCATAAATTGCAGGTTAATTTGGTTGATTGGGTTCAAACCCATAACTATTACTGTTTTTAGCTTCAGAAAACAGACTTGTCTATTAATGGTTTGTAGTTCTTGCCAACTTGTAAAAAAAAATTAAAAACAAAAGTTTATTTTCAAACAAATTCAAAAGTATGATGACAAAAAGTATCAAAATACAACATAGTTCGGATTATATTTATGTATGTGACAAACAAATTAAGGGTCGTTTACTAAATACTTATTCTGGTAAGCAGTTACAAAGTCACATTACCTTACAAGATAAATATGACAATGACCAGGAATCTTACCCAGTAAGAGTGGGAAAATGAACAAGAGTCTTACCCGGTAAGTGAATACGACGACTCTTACCACGGTAAGAGCATATCAGGTAAATTATTACATACGGTGCCGTTTCAATGGACTAAAATCTTACCCGGTAAGTAAGTCATAGCGTTGAATTTTACTGGTAAACACTTATCGGGTAAGTTTTTGGTAAACGGCCCCTAAGTTTTTAAATTTTCTTTTTAATGTAACAAAGTTTCAAAAAAATATATTTAACGTCACTTGATATGTCAATGTCAAGTTTATCGTCAATTAATTACGACTCTTTCACAAGCATTTCAAGAACCTTTTGTAAACAGGTATTCACATCATCAAATGTTACAAGATCAACAGGTTTGGGTCAAAATGATATAAAATAAGATAATTTGAAGTTTTGTTACGTCAAACTTGGTTGTATTTTCTCCAAAGTAAAATCGACCCTAAAAAACAAGGCAAGATATAAGACATGTTGCACGAGAAGTTAGAATTTGTAAAATCTTAATACAAAACGTCTTTTTAGCAAATTTATAGGACAATATTTGAAAAAATGTCTTATAAAAACAAGTGTACTATAAAAGATGAGTTTATAGGATACTTTCTCCTATAATTTTTGTTGATGAGACGATTTTTATTAAAAGTGTTCTAAAACGACATCCTATCAACTTGTTACAACTAACGCCTTTAGATAGAACATTTTACATATTTATAAAGCAGTCTAGCTATTAAGACGCATAGAAACCTAATTTAATTTATTGTAATGCAAATCTTGGTATTTTAATATCAAATGCTTTGAGTTGGTTGTGTCTCTTGACAATAAAAGTTGCTTTCCCTTAACCATGAGTGAAAATATGGGCATTTCATTTCTAAATGCCTGCAATTAATTATGAATCACAAGAGTAGAGTACGTAGCAAAATAACAATTACACAAATCTTGTATAAATAAATAGTTGTACCTTCAATTCTCTACCCTAATTAAGGTGGAAGTATAGCTTGGTACATGTTGTCTACTTTCAAGTGAGATTTTTAAGATACTTTTGTTTTGGTATACTTTATGTCGTACCATGTGAAAAAGATATGTTTCTCGTCATACATACATATAGCTTATCAAAGCGTAATATGAACGATTCAAGGACGAAAAAACAAAACATAATCATTAACCACCTTTTATCGTTGTAGCTTAATAAAATAAGGCAAACTCTGTTAGTAAAATTCTTTAATGGATATCAAAAGTGTCTTGCCAAAAGAACTTCCCACTTGCTTAGTTGGAAAGAACATTCGATGCATCGTAGTTTGATGAACCGTTAAAATTATTAAAGACATAGCATATATCAATGTCATCTGATATCCTAGTTCCTAGAGCTTACAAAACAAATGCATGTTACAAAGTAAGAGATATGGTAAGTGACCGAAGGATATGTCCACTAACACATCACCATACAGAAAAGATGTTAATGAAGTTAACAAGTCTTGCCTGTCAAAATTAAACTAATGACTTTCTTATTGGCTATAACTCCATAATTATTTCAAACAAAAAGATCTCACTTTCATTTCCAAAATGAATTTAAGTAACCATTTTAGGAGGAAATCCAAATATAACACCCTTTGAGGCTTTGACTTTAAAGAGATCTTCAAAAGCTACCTTTATGCAAATCTGCAAAAAAGTGATGACTTCTCAAAATCCTTCTAATAGACTGTAAAACACTATATCCGGTAAACATTTCACGAAACAAATGGCAAATTCTTCCTTCCATGTAGGGAAAAAAAACACTTAATTGGTACTAAAATAAAAAAATTTCAGGAACATTTAGTTTCTCTCCTCTATGGAAAGAAAGGGGATGATACGTGGCGTGGTATCCCTGATCGTTTAGAGCCTTGTCTACAAAGCAGAGAAGTGATTCACCAAAGCCACGAGACCTTGAAAGCAGCTTTTTCAAGTGTCAGTAGCGGAATGTTGTTTCACAAGATAAATCTACAATACAATACTATTTACTAACCCATTCTTTAAAATATGCGTGTACAAAAGCTCAAATTTCAGAATTAAAGTAGATGTGTTAGAACTTTTAAAAAGAATCGATTCAATACATTTCTTATGTAAAGCATGGGAACTACGGAGCTAGGTAGTTGAGGGACTAGATTGAAAAAGACCGCGGTCATTCAATTCCTGATAGTAGGGTGATTTTTCTTATTTGATACGTGTTTGTGATATTTAAGAGCACATTTATTCCATCTTCACAACATTAGAGCAACTATCACACTCTACTTCCCATTTTCAACAAGATCAATGATAATAATCCACCAAAAGTCACAACAACCTACACTAAAGTCCAAAAGTCCAAAAGTCTATGATAAGGTTCCTTACATGTAACTCCTAACAACCTATTGCCTAATAAAGCTTTATCTTTAAAGAATTGTACCAAAATACTACCTTATATTTACATGTTAGAGGAATCAATTGGTACTTATGATTAATATGCTTTGTACCAACCTAAAAAGTTTTGGGTTCTCCCTTTAATATAACGATAGCAAATTAAAACTCAGATGATGAACAAAGAATCCGACACAACAAAATAGACAGATCAAACATGCTTACAAGAATCCTCAACTTGCAATTAGTGGTGTGGGAGTCCTTCCATTGAGAGGAGTTGATAGAGATATATTAAGCAAAATCTAAATTGCTTCTTGTTATTAGATGAAATACAAAGTTAAACAGTAATCAATGAAAATGAAAATGAAAATGAAAATAAAAGAAAGTGTGTGATCTTATATAATATAATGAGCTCATTCCCCTGCAAGACTAAAAGGTTAAAATGGGGGGGAATGAAAATGGCTTAAACCAAACAACCCATAACTATAAGATACAATTAAAAAAGCTCTTATGCTGAAATCATGCAGAACCTACAAGATAATTGGAATCTTCAAATTGTTAACATAATAATTTGGCTGGTCCTTGCCATGTGTAACTGTTGCTTGCACACTGAAATGAAAATTCTATATTTACAGATTAAGCTCATATAACAAAGATGACGTAAGTCACCAAAGGATTGCACTCATGTTAGATAAATGATGCTGATATCATATTGATATTGTGAAATATGAGATGTGTTGGCTTAGATCGCAATCTCATTGTCAATTTGAAGAGAACATGCTAATTACATCAGTTGTTTCATCCTTTATCTCAAATGAGCTTTCTTTCCACTGTCAATTTTATCTATCCTAAAAATACTGCTTGTTGGCGCAAGTGTACGAAACTTGATTTAATTCTATTTTATAAACATATGACAATCCCATTGTTTTGATGATTGACAAACACAAAACCCGACTTATTTGTATTCTAACAATTTAATTCTTATTATGTAAGAGTTGACTATTAACATACAAGAATTTGTCGATGAAATGCTTCTATAATTGCAAAATCTAAAAAAAACGACATTGGCTTTGGGAAGCGTGCCGTCTGCGATCTTCACCAAAATTTTATCTTGAGAAACAGGAACTTGTTGAAGATTTAAACCCAAGACATTTGCGGAAATTATATTTT